AGACAAGGAAAAAAATCACATGATTATCTCAATAGATGCAGAAAAATCATTTGACAGTATTCAGCATTGATTCATGCTTAAAACACTAGAAAAACTAGGGATAGTAGGAACACACCTCAACATTGTAAAAGGTATAAGCTAAACCCAAGGCCAACATTATTCTAAATGAGAAAATTTGAAAGCATTCCCTGTAAAAACTGGAATAATACAGGGATGCCCTCTTTTACCACTGCTGTTCAAAATAGTCCCCGAAACCCTATCCAGAGCAAGTGGACAGACAAAAGAAAGAAATTAAAGGGATATGAATAGGAAAAGAAGAGCTCAAACTATGTCTATTTGCTGATGACATGATTCTATGTTTAGATGATCCCCCCCAAAAGGCTTCTAGAACTCATTAAAAATTTCAGCAAAGTAGCAGAATATAAAATTAACACCCATGAATCAGTTGCATTCCTATATACCAATGATGAATCAGCTAAAAGAGAAATTGGGAAAACTATTTTGTTTACAATAGCCTCACAAAGAAATGAAAACTTGGGAAACAATCTAACGAAAGAGGTGAAAGACCTCTAGAGTGAATAATACAGAACCCTAAAGAAAAAAATTGAAGAAGATCTTGGAAGATGGAAAGATCTTCCATGTTCTTGGATAGATAGAATTAATGTCAAAATGGCCATATTACCAAAGCACTATACAGATTTAATGCAATTATATGAAAATTTCATTGTTTTCATAGTCCTCATGAAATTCATTTGGAAAAATAAGACCCAGAATAGCCAAAGCAGTCCTTAGTGAGAAAAGTGATGCAGGAAGTATCACAACACCAGACATGACATTGAATTATAGAGCTATAGTAACAAAAATGGCATGATATTGGCAAAAAGCAAAACAAAAACAAAACAACAACAACAAGAAAATAGACAGGAAAACCAATGGAACAGAATGGAAAACACAGAGACATACCCCTATAAATACAGTTATCTCATACTAGACTATTGGAGAAAAGATAGCCTCTTCAGCAAATGGTGATGTGGAACCTGGAAATCCATATGTAGTGGAATGAAATTTAACTCCTGTCTCTCTGCCTGCACAGCATTCAACTCAATGTAGATCAAGAACCTAGGCCTTAGACCAGACACCCTCTGCCTAACAGAAGAAAAAGTAGCCCAACTATCCATCATGTCAGCTAAGGAACCAACTTGCTCAACAGGATTCCTAAAGCACAAGAAGTAAAATCAAGAATCAATAAGTGGGATGGAGTCAAACTAAACATCTTTTTCACAGCAAAGGAAACCATCAAGAATATGAAGAGACAGCCTACAGAATGGAGAGAATCTTTGCCACCTACACCTCAGTTAGAGCAATAACTCCAAGATATACAAAGAACTCAACAAACTTAACACCAAATAAACAAATAACCCAATTAATAAGTGGGTAAAGGAACTGAACAGACACTTAACAGAAGAAATATGAATGGCCAATAGTGTATGAAGAAAATGTTCAACATCTCTAGCAATTAAAGAAATGCAAATTAAAACTACCCTGAGATTTCATCTCACTCCATAATCCAGGGAATTATCACTGTCCTTTCAATCCTTTCACCATCTTAGAACACAGCACAGGGCCATTACCAGAACCCAAGCAGATGCTAGTGCCTTGCTCTTGGACTTCCCAATCTTCAGAACTATGAGCCAAAATTAACCTCTATTCTTTGTAAATTACAGTCTCTGGTATTCTGTTACAGCAACAGAAAACATACTCAGGTCCTTAAAAGGTCTACATTTCAAGGGTGGTAGCTTATACTACTTACCTTTCTCATCAGTTTCTTAAAGAGGTCTTATAGAGGAACACTTTTACACCGTTGGTGGGAATGTAAATTGTACAACCACTACGGATATCAGAGATTTCCTCAAAGACTAGGAATGAAGCCCCCATATGACCCATCTATACCACATCTTGATATTTATCATAAAGGTCAAGTGAAGCTGATGTTACACATAATAGCAGAGAGGAATATGCTTTGTATGTGATTCATTTGGGTGCATGATTATATCACACAATAGCAATACATGCATACTTGTGTTTATAGCAGCACAATTCCCAATAGCTGAACAATGGAACCAGGCTAGGTGTCTATCAGTGGATGATTGAACAAAGTTAACATGGTATGCTGGGCATGGTGGTGCACTCCTGTAATCCCAGAGGCATGGGAGGCTGAGGCAGGAGGATCTTGAGTTTGAAGCCAGCCTCAGCAAAAGAGAGGTGCTAAGCAACTCAGTGAGACCCTTTTTCTAAATTAAATAATAATAATTAAAAAAAGATGTGAAGATGTCGTCAGTGGTCGGGTGCCCCTGAGTTTAATGCCTGGTATCCCTCCTCCCCCGCAAAAGCTAACATGGTATATATTCACAACAATGTTTGATTCATCTATAAGGAATTAAATGATGATATTTTCAGGACAATGTATGAAACTTGAGAACATTAGGTTAAGTGAAATAAGACAAACTCAGAAAGTTAAGTGGTGTATGTTCTCTCTCATCTGGGGCAGGTAAAGAGCACAAAGGGAAAGAAAGGTAGTGAGGGAAGGATCTCATGAAAATCCAAGGGAGACCAGTAAAGGAAAGGGACCAGGAAGAGATAAGAGGGGAGCATTTTTTGTTATGCTACAAATTGGTGCAACCACTCTGGAAAGCTGTATGGAGATTCCTTAGAACACTTGAAAAGGGTCCAGCATTTGACATAATTATACTGCTCTTTGATTTATATCCAAAGGACTTAAAATCAGCATATTATAGAGACGCAGCCACATCAATTTTTATAGCACATCAATTTACAATAGCTAAGCTATGGAACCAACCTTGGTGCCCTTCAACAGATGAATAGATAAAGAAAATGTGGTACATACACACAGTGAAATATTCATTCTCTTTAACCTGTAAAACTCACTTAGTGCTTGTTGTACTCTTGGATCTAAAGGCTATGGTTATTTTAGCATTTGTTAGTTGTAAATTCATCTTTTTAATTTTTTGAGGAATATTATATGTATTTTACTGGATATAGAATTCAAGATCTTTTTCATCATTGTAAATATTGTTTCATCATTTTCTGGCCGCTGTTGTTTCTGATGAGAAGTCTTCTGTAATTCTTGTATTTCCCCTGAATGTAAAGTATCTTTCTTCCTCTGATGGTATTCAAAAGTTTTGATTTACCTTTCATTTTCAAAATTTTTACTATGATGTGTTTTATCTGGATTGATGTCTATTGGCTTTCTGGTTCTGTGAATTTATGGTTTTGATAAAATTTTGGAATTTTTGACTGTATTTTTTCTGTTTCCTATGTCTCCTTTCCTTCTGGAACTCTACACAAAAGTTAGATTATTTGATGTTGTCTCAAATTCCTGGCTGCTCTGCTCAGAATTTTTTTTTTTTTAAAGATGGGATCTTACTATGTTGGTTAGCCTGGCCTTGAACTTGCCTCAGCCTCCCAAGTAGGGGGATTACTTAGTGCCTCCCACCATGTCTGACTTTTGGTCTGGTCAGCTTTCAAATATACTCTGTGTACTTTAGTTGGATAGTTTTTTTAAATTATTGTTTATCTTTAAAATTACCTATTACTTCTACTGTAAGGAAGAACTTCTCTTATTCCTCAACTTTTTAGAAATTATCTTTCAGTACTGTTTAGAGTTTTGTTTAACCCCACAAGATTATCTATCCATGATGATACTATTTTACTAATTTTTTATTATTAATATTTAGTGCTGAGAATTGAATCCAGGGCCTCATATATAATAGGCAAGTGCTTTACTACTATTCCAGTCTCCCTTCCTAAATTTAAAAAAGTATTTATAATTATTATCTTACAGTCTTTCTTTATGCCAATATGTGGGTCATATTTGAATTTGACTCTATTTATAGTTGTTTATCTTGGTTATGGGTCACACTGCTATTTTCTTCATATCATATTTTTTGACTATATGCCAGACCAGTATTGAATGGGTATTGAGCCAGCCTTACAACCAGGGTATAGACCTCAGTTGTTGTGGTATATTATTCTTTTATAGATTTCTAAACTAAATGCTGTTTTGTTTTTTTTGTTAAAGAAGCTTGTGGTTATATTCATGAGGTATACTGATCTCTACTTTGCGAGCAACTGCTCATGTTTTTGGCATCAGGGTAAATCTAGGTTTATGAAATTAATGGGAAGTGTTTCCTCCTCTTCTGTTTTCTGGAAGAGATTACATAGAATTGGTGTTAATTTTTCCTTGTTTGTTCTGGTATAATTCTCCAGTGAAACCACTTGGCCTGGAGACATCTTAGGAGTTGAAAAGCTATTGAAATGACCTATTTCATATTGGGCAAGACATAGTAGTTTGTGTTTTTCTTAGAATTGATCACCTTCACCTTTGTTGTTGAATTTATGTGTGTAGAGTGGTTAAAATATTCTTTATTACCTTTTTGATATCTTCTGAGTCTCCAGTGACATCCCCCTTTCATTCTTGATAATTGTAATAGGTTTATGTTCTCTCCTTTTTTTGTCATTCTCTCTAGATGTTGATCAATTTTATTAATCTTTTCAACACAATTTTTTTAAAAATTCAATTTCTCTGTTGTTTTTCTGAATTCAATTTTAATGATTTGTGCTCTAATCATTGAATGTGGTATGTCTCAGTATGGTTCTCTTTGAAATTTTCTGCTCTTCGTTTTTGAATCTAAACCTTTATGCCCCTTTCTAAATTTGGGGTGTTTTTAGCCATTATTTTTTCTGGACTTTTTCAGTTTTCACAAACTGTTGAAATTACAAATCCCTGCCTCAGATAGCAGGGTATACTTCTGTATGAAGCTAAATATAAGATTGTTGTAAATAGCTCTTATCTGTGAATGGTTCATTTTTCTTATTTTAACTGATCCTTATCTCCCTGCTTTTAGTCATTAGCATGGGGGATCAAAAATATCAGGCCTGGCCACTCACCTCCCCTATCTGCAAACAAAAGGAAAATGCAATGGTGAAAACACAAAAGGAACTTTAATCAATATAGCCATATTGGGAAGACAGTGAGATTAAGCATCTCAGCCCTATCCTCAGGGAGACTGACAAGAACTTTAGGTTTAAATAGAGAGTAAGTTGGGGCAGGAGTGAGAGGTGAGCAGTGTTGATCAAACCTGTCTGGTTGATCATTATCTCAGTCCTGGTGGCAGAGTCTTACTGGTTCCAAGGAAATTGCTGCTGTTGATCTCTGCTTCCCAGGCCAGGATGTTTACCTATCAGAAGTGTGGTCCTGGAGAGGGTTGGTTCAGTTCTCATGAGATGGTCATGCCTAGCTGAAACGGGTGGGGGCTGGCAGTTTCATCATGAAGTGATCTGCCTGTCTGTTGTTCCTGGGCGATGGTTTGAGACTTCTGACCTTTGGTACAGGAAGTATGGGTCAGGGTGTTGTCAAAACTGGCAGTTGAGAAGACTGGAAGGGCAAAAGGGAGCAAGGCAGTGAGTCCTGCTCTCCTCCCAATATGGAAAGGAGGCAATGAAGGGAAAGCAGAATTGAGAAAGTGGCTGACAAAATAACAAACAAACAAAACCAAAAAACCCTCTAAGACTCAATATTACAAAGTCTGAGACCTGGAAAGACTCAAAGAGAGGTTATCAGAGTAGAAAATAAGCACAAAGTTCCCTAATCCTTAACCCAAACCAGATTGAGGAAAGGGGAGAGGGGCAACAGAGAAAAAAAGGGGGTAGGGGAAGTCTCTTAAGCTCACCCACTTAAAAACATTTGGACAGGAAGACAAAATTTACAGTGTGACAAGAATAGCAGGGCCCTTAAAATAGAACCAATAGCTTAACACCTAATCGTGACAAGAAAGCTGAGCTTGGGGTCTACCGACCAGATTCTTAAGAAGTCCCACTACAGAAGATTCCCTCTGGTTAAATTTGCAGCTTTAAACCAGAGGGAATCTTCTGTAGTGGGACTTTTTAAGAAGCTGGTCAGAAAGAAGTTCTAGAAGGACCACTACCAGCTGAAAATCACTGAACCCCTCCCCCTTCTGCAAAGAATGGGGGTGGAGTACTGTGGATCTGTGCTGGAACATGTGCCAAACCCAGTGCTCTGCTTAGCCTTGGGAGCCAGGCAAAGGTGGAAAGCTCTGCACTGAGCCCACTCTACTCAAGAGAGAGAATGAAAAGGCAGCTTTGGGCACAAGCAAAGGAAAGTGCTTTCCCCAGTCCCAATTACTGCAATGGGGTCAGGGGTGTCAGTGTGGGAAGCCTAGAGACTGCCCCCCAGATTCTGGAAGGGAAGCTGCCTGAATATCCAGTGACATAGAGATGTGGTTCCCAGATGGTGGCAGCCATGGAAAGAGGGCTGCTAGGATAAGTTCCCTGAGTACCCCAGGAAACTTAAGTGGAAGGCACCAACAAACATAGACAGAGGGAGATTAGTGAAGGCAGAAAATTACCAGAGCCAAGGCGACAGCAACTGCCTGCTCCCCACTTTAACTGGTGCCCAGCCTGACTTGTGATCACAACTGGTGAGTGAAAGGGCATTGTGTGGATACTGGTGGGACCCTGCATTAGACAGAGTCAACAGAGGGAATCAATGTGTGTCATTCACAATCTTCAGCATTCCAAACTAGAACCCAGGCGCACTACATGAGTCCCTTCACTACAGTAACCCAGAGAGTGCTGTTGGCCAGCAGAATACTTCTGCATCACAGAACAACCATCCCCAACCAGAGTTCCTATGCTCACAGACAGCCACCAGGATCTTCACCAACCAAAGGGATCCTGTAGAAGGGAGCAGGTACATGGTGACCCACAGCAATCACAGGGACACACCAGAGCCTGTATTCTGAATTCCAGCACACGATAGAAACAACTAAGCCATAATACTTACCCACTGAGCAGTCAGCTTCAGGCCCCCACACTGAGAAACCCAAAGCACTGGTGGGAGATCCACAGCAAATAAGTAATTGGCTTCTGTACCTCTGCAACTTTGGGGAGATCCACAGTCAATGAAATCCAAACCAAAGTTCAACAATAAATTTACTTTGCCTCGACATGGGTTACTATAAATAACACTATATCAACTTTGATCGTATAACTTTAACTTGAATGATAGTTGTTACTGCCATAGCCAATGTTGTACCTTCAACCCATTTGAATGTATTTCATCCAATAGTTTCAGGAATTAATTAGAATCAGTCTTTCTATCTTTATATTTTTAGCTCTAGTTTATACTTGCTCCTCTTATCCCTTATTCATGCTCTTGCATTATCTACTACTACCTGAAATACTCACCATCCTTTTCTACTTTCTACCTTGGTGGGACTTATTCTTTTATATCTTTCACTCTTTATCTCTGTCTCTATTTTTCCCTCTCCTTTTTTGCCCAACCTTTGTTCTTCACATCTCTTAACCCTCACTTAAGGTTATAGTAATTTTACTAAATTTAGTAACTATTTTTTGACATATTCCAGAACTCTATTACTAATTTAGACTTGGATTTTAGGAACAGTGGAGAATCATAGCAACAAGATTTTATTTCTCTTAAGATTGAACAGTACAATGCTTGGCTCTGAAATTATTACAGTAAATAGTGTTTGTGATATCTTTAAAGTGGTGTTGATATTGATTAGCAGAGGTCACACAGACTTAAAATATCAATATCTGGATTATTTTCCCAGCCCAAGACTCTTAAGGGAAAGACTCAAAAAGTAGCACCTCATTTGAAAAGATAAGTGACAACTATCCCAATAGATTTCAGCCTACACACAATATGAAAAATCAGGGTAACAAACTGTCCCAGCCAGCCTGTAATGCTTTAACAACTGACCCCATGGCCACCACACTGGAGGAACTATCAGAGAAATAGTTTAGAAAGTTCATACTTAAAATGTTCTGTGAGCTAGACGAACATGTAAGGAGTTCAATTAGAGAGAAAATATAGGAAGTGAAAGATCACTTCAACAAAGGGAGATTTTGAAAAAGAATCAAACAAATTCCAGAAATGAAAGACTCAATGAACCAAGTTAAAAATTCAATGGATTGGGGCTGGGGTTGTGGCTCAGCAGTAGAGTGTTCACCTAGCATATGTGAGGCCCTGGGATCGATCCTCAGCACCACATAAAAGTAAAATAAAGATATTAAAAACAATTGGTTAGATTGTTAGATTTTTCAGGCCTCAAATAAAAAGTGCAAAATTTAAAAAATTAACTTGACATGAAGAAAAGATGTCAAGAGACCAAGGACAGAATATTAAGGAATTCTAGGATAATATTAAGAGGCCAAATGTAAGAATCATTGGGATAGATGAAGGCTCTGAACTATAAGCTAAGTGGATGCACAATATTTTCAATGAAATAATATCAGAGAAATTTCTAATCCTTAAGAATTAATGTAAATTCCAATACTAGAGACATACAGGACTCCAAATATACAAAATCACAATAGACCCAATCCATCATATATTACAATGAAAATGCCTGACATATAGAATAAGGTTAGAATTTTAAACACTGCAGGAGGAAAATGGCTGGTCACATTTAGAGGTAAATTAGTCCAGATTTCAACTGATTTCTCAACTAGACCCTGAAAGCCAGGAGCACATGGAATAATATATACCAAGCTCAGAAAGAAAATGAATGTCAACCAAAAATACTATACCCAGCAAAATTAAACAGCAGAATTGAAGATGAATTAAAAACCTTCATGATAAACATTAGCTAAAAAAATTTGTAACCAGAAAGCCTGTGCTATAAAATACCCTCAAGAAAATATTTAATGAAGAAGAAATTAAAATTATAAATGAAAAATCAGCATAGAGAGGAATTACACCAGAGGATTAGTCAATTAAAGCAGAATCAAGACTGATTTAAACATTAGAAATAAATCAAAATAACAAAATAAAAGTCATCTGTCAATAACAGTATTGAACATAATTGGTCTAAACTCTTTAATCAAAAGATATAGGTAGGCAGGCAGATTGTATTAAAAAATAAGACCCAACAATATGCTGTCTGCAAAAGCCTCAGTTGTCTTACAGGCAAAGACATCCACAGACTGAAGGTGAAAGGGTGGGAAAAAATGTATCACTCACATGGACTGCATAACCAAGCAAGGGTTTCCATCTTCATATCAGTTAAAGTGGACTTTAAACCAAGCTAGTGATAAAGAAGGACATTTCATACTACTTAAAGATTCATACATCAACAAGACACAATAATCATAAATATCTATGGTCCAAACAATGGGGCATCTATGTATATCAAACAAACCCTTCTCAACAACAAGAATCAAAGAGACCACAACACAAGAATACTGGGTGACTTTAATATACCTCTTTTACCACTGGATAGATTTTCCAAACAAAAAGTAAACAAAGAAATTATAAAACTCAAAAAAAAAAATCAATAATTGAGGCTTAACAGACATACATAGAATATTACATCCATAAATGAGCGAATACACTTTCTTCTCAGCAGCACATGATCCTTCTCCAATATAGACCATATGTAATGCCACAAAGCAAATCTTAGCAAAAAAAAAAAATAGAGATACTACCCTGCATTCTATCTGATCATAATGGAATGAAATTAAAAATTAGTGATAAAATAAAAAAATAGAAGCTACTCTAACACCTGGAGACTAAATAATATGCTATTGAATGACTGATGGATAACAGAAGAGAGGGAGGAAATAAAAAAATTCCTAGAGGTCAATGAGAACTCCGATATAACTTATTAAAACCTCTGGGACACTATGAAGGCAGTGCTAAGAGGAAATGCTAAGCCTTGGTCATCTTATTGGCAAAGACATCCACAGACTTCATTGCATTAAGCTCATTCATTAAAACAAGAAAAAGTCAACATATAAATGACCTGACATCACATCTCAAAACCCTAGAAAAAGAAGAACAAACCAACACCAAAAGCAGAAGACAGGAAATAATTAAAATCAAGGTGGAAATCAATGAAATTGAAACAAAAGAAAAACTTCAAAAAATTGACAAAACATAAAGCTGGTTCTTTGAAAAAATAAATAATATATAAAGAACTCAAAACATTTAACACCCCCCGAAAAAAACCCACCAAATAAAAAGCCCAATCAATAAATGGGCCAAGGAGCTGAACCAACACTTCTTGGAAGAAGATATACAATCAATCAACAAACATAGGAAAAACTGTTCAACATCTCTAGTAATTAGAAAAATGCAAATCAAAAGTACTCTAAGATTTCATCTCACACCAGTCAGAATGGTAGTTACCAAGAATACAAACAACAATAAGTGTTGGCAAAGATGTGGGGGAAAAGGCATACTCATACATTGCTGGTGGGACTGCAAATTGGTGCAGCCAATCTGGAAAGCAGTTTGGAGATTTCTTAGAAAACTTGAAATGGAACCATCATTTGTACCAGCTATCACACTCCTTGGTCTATACCCAAAGAACTTAAAATCAGCATACTATAGTAACGCAGCCACAACAATGTTTATAGCAGCTCAATTCACAATAGGTAAATTGTGGAAGCAACCTAGATGCCCTTCAATAGGTGAATGGATAAAGAAACTGTGGTATACACACAATGGAATATCACTGAGCATCAAAAGAGAATAAAATCATGGCATTGGCAGAATATCATGCTAAGAGAAGTAAGCCAATCCCAATAAATCAAAGGCCGAATGTTCTCTCTGATAAGTGGATGCTGATCCTGAATTGGGGCGGTGGGGATGGGAAAAATGGAGGAACTATAATTGGGCAAAGAGATGGAGGGCAGGGGAGTGAGCATGGGGGCAAGAAAGATGGTGGAATGAGATGGACATCATTACCCTAGGTACATGCATGACTGCACATTTGGTGAGACACTACATCATGTACAACCAGAGAAATGAAAAGTTGTGCTGCAATTGTGTACAATGAATCAAAATGCATTCTGTTGTCATATACACCTAATTAGAATAAATGCATGACTAAATTAAAACAAAACCAAACAAAATTCAATTGAGATTCTGAAGACAAAAACCTATTGCATTCTTTGATGCTTCATTTTGCAAATCTTTTATAACAAATTTTCAAAAGCACAGTCAAAAGGATAGAGGAAACAAAAGAACTCCCATGTTCCCATCATGCAGCAGTTGGTAGCTGAGGTCCCTGTGGCAGTCACACTATGTGCCAACTTTTACCACCCTCACTACCCCACACAGAATTACTTTGAAGCAAATTGTAAATCACATCATTTATACACAAATACTGGAGCATATATCTCTAAAAGAAAAGATAAACTTGTAAAAATGTAAGCATACTATCACTAACTCACCTAACAAATCAACAATAACCTTATCTTCAAATATCTAGTTTGTGTTCAAATTTCTGATTGCTTAATAATTTCTTTTAGGATTGGTTTGTTCAACTCATGATCCAAAATCTGAGTGTTGCATTTAGTTGGTAAGTTTCCTATAATCCTTAGACTCCTTCTCTTTTGTTTTTGTTTTGTTTTGGTCCTTTTTGATTGAAAAAAAATCAGATTTTTTTTTGATCTGTGAGTTTCTGCTTTCTGGATATGTTGCTGATTGCATATCTGTGCTGGTATTTAACATGATCTTTCTTTTCTGTGTTTGTTTTAAATGAGAAGTGAGATCGAGCTAGTTGATCAAATTCAGTTTTAATTTGGCAAGAACATCTCATGGGTGATGCACTCCTGTGGTTTTTCCAGCTCTGTAAGGTCAGATTGTCTGTGTGATGTTCATATCAAACAGGATTAGGACAGTCTGATTTACCGGTTACAAAGTTTTTTCTTTAAAATCGGTATTCCATTTAATGGTTTTGGCAGCCATTGATGATATCCATGATTCCATCTCGTTGGTTACATCTGTTCAACACATGGGTTATATGTAAATGTTGCCAGTGCACTGTGATCCCCTGGGTGGGGGACTCATTAATCTTCTCACAAGAATTCTTCTTGTTCACAACCTTTGGAGTTTGGGTGCAGTTTTCCATGTGTCTGTTTGGAGGGAGGTTTATAAACTCAGTAGCTAATTCCCCAGTCTACTTTGGTAAGATCTGCTGACTTCTGTGGGGATGACCTTTAGAGATCTGGGTGGCCCTTCTCCTCAGAAGACCCCCAAATGTCAAACACATTTAAGATTAAGATACATTTAAGATTAACTTGGTCAGAATAAATGTTGCTTCTCATCTTAAGAGGTTTTAGGTATTTTTGAGAAACGTTTCCCAGATAGTGTGACGTCTTGGAACCAAAACAATTTTATTTTTCTTATTCTGAAAAAAAGTCACATTTGAAGAAGAAAGAAGCAGTGGGGCTCCATATGGCTGACTTTCTAAGTCCGTCTCTCTTAATTCCATCCACAGCTCCTTATTATTTTGTCCTTCATGATGTTATCCAAACCCAGGGAAGGATTTGCTGCTTTCCACATCTCTCCCTCATTCCTTCTTCACCATAATCTTTGTAGGAATCACCAAACGCTTAATGGGATAGTAAATTAAATATTGTTTGTATGGGTATGAAAAGTCAGGGGCTATGTCTATAAATTTGCCAATATAAAATATAGGTCTAGGATCTAAAACAATTTAAGTGGTACTGAGACCACCTTCCTGGAGGAAGATCAGGCTCTTAAACAATTTCAATGTCATAAGCAAGTGGGCCCCCAATGGAAAATCCTAGATAAAAAGATACTTTTTCTATGCTCCTGCCACTTTGCAGTGAACGCAAGAAAATGGGTGTGATGGGTATTGTGATTTTTTTCATTGATCCCATACTGTATGTATAAACAATTATTTTCAGCTTGTCCTTGCACATGAAGCAAAAGGTCTTTTTGGTCCTTCCATACATCTCCACTTTGCCACACAGAATTAATATCAGGTGTCTCTCCAAAGCATTGATCGATTTTTCCTTGCAGACAAGTCTGTTCATATTGTTTTCTTTTATTAAAGAAATATGCAGTAGGGGGCTGTGGTTGTAGATCAGTGGTAGAGTGCTTTTACTTGCATGCATGAGGCACTGGGTTCAGTCCTGAGCACCACATAAAAATACATAAAAATAAAAAAGATTGTTTTTAGTTGTCCATCTACAACTAAAAAAACATTAGAAAAAGAAATATGAAATAGGTTGCTATGTACGATTATAGGTTGATATTGCCATCTGAAATAATTTTGCAATGATTGAGCATACTTTTCCTTTGTTTAGAATCTTGATCCAGGTGTTGGTTTTCTGACCACAATAAGAGTGAAGCTAGGAAAGGAGGTTCTGAATATTGGTAAGTTGGTCCTACTTGTTGCAAGACCTCTCGAAGATGTTCCTTCAGTTTTTTTAATTGACTTCACTAGTTTGGAGGCAGGTTTAATACAAAAGAGAATGATGTTGGCCAAGATAAAGTTCTGCTTTTCCTTTAGCTGCCTTTTGACAATACATTGTTCAGAGAGAAAAGTATATTTGTTCACTATATCTTCCATGGTGCTTAGAGCATCTTCTTGACTTTTGATAAGATATTCTAGGAGCCCAGAAAACTTGTCTGCTTTTAAAGCTTCTAGGGTTCCTTGATTTCTCTCTACTTGAAAAGGCAAATGGAGCTTTGATCCAACATCTCTGCTATGTGATTCTGCTAAGGGACAAATAAATATAACTACATATTCTTGAAAGATACCTCTACCTTCTTGTAAATTTTGGCCTCTTTATTTCGATTAATGTTGTTCCTGGGTTTTAGAAAGACAAAGTAATCATCAAAAAGAAAAAAATCAAAGGACTTCTCCAAAGAAGATTGCAACAAAGTTAGATAAGAAATAAAGTTCTTGAGGAACAATTTGAATTTATCTGGATTTCCCAGAATATCACAATTTCTCGATATACAATTGACCATATACCTCTTTTAGACAGGTCATTTTTATTGTCAAAAAAGAATGAGAAGTTATACTCCATTTATGTATGATGTGTCAAAATATATTCTCTAGTGCTTTAAGAATGAGAAACAATAAAACAATAAAAAATAATTAATAAGGAATCACACTCAGAATATTCTCAAGTGCTTTATAAATGAGAAACAGTAAAACAATTGGAAATAATGCATAGGGAATCACATTCAGAATATTCATTAGGAAATATCCACGTTCTAGCTCCCTTAGAAAAGCATCCATTTTTTCAGTAGCAGAAATCATTTTTGACTTCTGACACAGTCTTTCCTTCACTTCATATTTTTGATCTTTACTTTGCTGTTGAGATTCTTTGAATGCACTGGAGGCATGTACTGTTAATTCCAGAAGATTGGTTGTACCATCAGTTACAAGAAGCCGATTTCCTCCAGATTCTTGTATCAACCAAATGATTTTATTATAGTAGACTTCTCCCAGTGTGTTTGAGATACTGGGATTGTCAGGTTCTATCTTTTTAGCTTGTTTTGCCCACTTCAGAGCATTGCTAAAATCTTTCTCTTTAAGGTAGAAATGTCTTGACAAAGCTTGGCACATGAATGCATTTGGGTTGAATCGACTGATACCTTCAAGCAATACAGCTTTAACTGCCTCATTGCCTTCATCTTTATGTAATGCTTCAATGAATGGGGAAAACCAGTTTCCTGTTTCACCTTCAGGTTCATTATGCTGCCTTGTGAGCAGTAGGGTTTGCATATCTTGGAGAAATTTGCTTCTTCCTATGGCAGCATCATAGAACATATTTTCTGTGAGCAAATCCAGCATAATTTGACTTTTATCCAAGTTATAGCTTTTGTTCAATTCTTCCAGTGAGAGAATCGCAATCAAAGGGTGAATGATGCGCACTCCACAGTATTTCCCACATTCTTCCACCTCTGTTCTTATCAGAATTGTAGAGAACGTGCCCATTTTGTCTTCAAGTTTTTCTGTTCCCCAGTAAGCCTTCTTGTTTGAGATTCCTAAGAACTTCTCACATTGTGAGAGTGAAATGGTGGTATCAGGCACATATGAACTCAGAAGAGCCAGAAAAGAAAAGAGCTTTGCTTCCTTGGTATAAATATTCTGCCCTTTCAGAATATTCCTCACCACATTTTCTTTGTACTCTTTATTAAAATTGTTTTTCATAATCATGAAGGAATAAAAATCTTCAAAGTTTTCATGCTGTTTTTTGATTTCTTTCAACTTAAGCTCAAAAGCTCTCTGTTCTTTGGGAGACAGTTGTTGTGTTAGGGCAATACTGTCTGAGTTCCCTGAACACACTTCAGGATTTTGTGATCTCATGCAATTTAGGATGATCACTAGAGGTCTCTCATATCGAATGTGCCTTTTAGCTATAGCTGTTTCAATGGAAGCCTGCAGAATGTAGACATTCTCTTGGTCTTCAAAATCATCAACAAGGAGCAATACTGGTAAGTATTCCTGATGGCCTGCTACCCTATAGGTAATTAAATTGGTCACCTGTTCTCCAATTTCAGAAAAATCCACTCTCTTATTTTTCAGCACAGCACATCTGAATTTCTTCCTTAGATCCCACAGAAGATGCATAGCCAAGGTAGTCCCCCCACAGCCTGGATGATGATACAGATGAAGGATTTTGGTACATGTTTCTTTAGAAGAATATGCACAGTTTTGAATTGATACTTCCAGTCTTTCAAATTTATCTCTTTTGACAAAAGATGAAAAATAGTTTTTGGAAGAAAAGTAGAAGTTCCACCATGATACTTTGCCACCTCGGTAGAAGTCTTCCTCTTTGGATGCCTTGAATTCTAGTAATTTTTTTTTGTCCTTCTCCAAGAGTGTGTCTTCACATTCATTTTCACAGAGAATTTCCAGGGCAGTCATGATTTCTTCTTCTTTCTTCAGAAGGACAGTAGATGAACCAACTGAGGGCAATAATCTCTTTGAGGATCGAGTTACAGATTTTAGTTTCAGAACAGTGTCATTTATTTCTTCAAGATTTAAGGCAGAAATACATTGGTTTGATAATTCATCTTGGTGTTTCGTTAATCTTGCTTCAAGCAGGTCTTTCCATCCCTGGCATATGTGTGAATGTACACAAATACACAGTATACTTTCCATTCCTTTGAGATCTTGGTAGAAAGCACAGAAAGTCTCGATGAGGGGGTCTCTGGGGTCATCCACAGAGGAGAGTAATAGAAACACCACCAAAAACTTCCCTCTTGGCATTATGTCTTCACGTGTGAGGAATGAAATCAGTTTCCTGACTTCAGAAGCTCTTTCCCTTTGCCAGGAAATTGGATCTAAGGGTTTGTATTTTTCACTGTCAAGGTCTGACCTCCCATTGCAGAAAATCCAGCTGGGTTGCTGGTAAAGATTCAGACTAGAAATCTTGTCACTCCACGTGGTCCCTTCTGCAAACAGACTTGGAGTGTGAAGGTTTGCTACTCGGCTTTCTTTGAAAGCTTTGACGACTCCATTCCTTGCTGATTCGGGATCAAACTCTAACACAGCAAACCACTTGATTTCCTTGAGGAAATCCAAGTGTTTTGTTTGCTCTGGGTTACATTTATTTGTTACAAGAATGTACCAGTCATAGAATGAATTGTCCAGCAAATCTTGATTTCCTGTCAACAGTTTAACTAGCTTGGACCCCTCACTTTTGTTTTTATTTGGCTTTTCTTTGTATTTTTCTTCTGCTTCTTTCCTAGACTCTGCCACTTTTTTTAAGTCTAGTTTAAAAGCTTTGAAGTCCGACTTACTTTTTGTGATGTCCTTAGATTTGGGCCCATCTCTCACAAAGACAGAGTATTTTGAACTTTGTTCCCATGCTTTGTTGTTACAGTTTTGCATTTTGATCTGGAAATAGTCCTCTCCACATTCTGCATATTGTGGAATGACATCCACTTCTATAACAAATCTGTCAGATACAGTACTGTTTGGCAGTAAAACTTCCACAAATCTGGGCTCTCGAATGCACTTCTCTGCTTGTTGGACCTGACGTGCTTCAAAATACTGATGTATCATCTTATGGAAGTGTTCAATTAGGGCTTCTTTAGTGACTTTGGTGATTTGCACACCAACAATTTTTCCATGGGGTGTGTCTTCGACTCCCAAATGAATGGTGCCATTGGTACGTGAATTCATACAAGCTGAGGCAAATCGGAAAACCTCGTTGCTAAATTTCATCTTAATATCCTCTTCTGTGGCTGTTTTTGTATTTGTGAAGGCCTTGAACTCACGTGCTGGATCGATGAGATTGCGTGATCCAGTTTCAGGCTGTAGAATGAAATGTAATTTATAACGATATGGATCACTGGATTCATCGAAAGGATATGGGATACATGTTGGTTCTAGGCATGGCTGCTTCTCCTTTAAGTCATCTGTTTCATCTTCCATGAGCTCATCTTTCAGTGACTTGGAGCCTGTAGCCACTGGACTCGTAGTGGCATTGGACACATCTGAATCGTTGTTATTCTTTTGTTTTTGTTCCAAAGTCTCTTTACTTTCCTTTTGCTTCACAGTTTGTTTTGGGGGAATATTTTTACTGCCTTTTTTCCTCTTGGATGTCTGAGTAGGATCTCGAGAGGATGTTTTCAGTAATTCCTTGAAGAGCTCTTCTATTTGGATAGCTGGTCCATGGGTTATGCCCATATCCACAAGATTCGTTTTGTTTAACCACTTCAGGATGGCACCGTTCACATCCTGGGCCACCAAGGTGTCCCTGTGCTTTTGGTCAACCTTATGGCTTTCTAACCATAGGTTTACATCTTCTTTTGTCCAGTCATCTGTATTTTCTGGAAGGTTTAGTTGCTCTGCCATTGTGATACCTATAGTTAGAGAAAGAATAATCATTTATTGTTTTACCAGTAAAACTTTGAAAGAAGTTATTATTTCATGTGTTACATAACTTAAAAATTTCCTATCACCAATTTCTTCTACATTCTCCAAGAGAAACACTATCGAATACAAATATATGCACACTTGTTGTCTCATATGAAGGGAGCAGGCTGGGCAAAATTCTCTTTCCTTGGTTTTATTCACTAAGTATATTGGAGATGCTGCCAGGTTGTATACATAGAGATTTTTCATCTTTATTTATGGTGATTTGTTGTAATGAGCATCTGCCTTATCATTTAGGAATATTCAATTCTGCTCTAGAAAATAAAAAAGAGACTATATGAGATGAAATATAGATGCAAGTAGTTTGTGAAAGAGGTTATGATAGATAGATGAACTAAACAGAGTATAGAATGTCAATCATAGCTACGAAGGAAGAGGAGGACCAAATAGTCATAAAATATTCATGAGATGCATATGAACATTTTTGAGGTATCATTAGGTTACTTGTTGCAACACCATTGTGACCTTTTGAGTTCTCTATTCAGGGAATATAAGTAAAATCCACAGTAGCATATTGGGCTATTCATGACCTATAGCTGGTCAAGCATACTTACTCTGAATCTTCCTGAGGAAAGCCAGTGTATGCCACGGACCAGGGCCCTTTCTATCTACTGAACCCCTTAGGGCAGATCTTAACTCTGGGCGTATTGAAGAAGGGAAGGTTTCTATACTTGAGATTGGTACAATAATACTGTCAGACTGTCATAAGTTAAGTATATATAGATAACATGTACAGCAACCAGTGAAAATGCATACAAAGTGATGCTTTCAAAGACATTGTGAATGAAAATGTAATTGTACTTCATTTTCAAGTAACCCAGAAGAAGGCAGGAAAATAATACAAAGGAAAAACAGAACAGAGAAAAACAAGTATTAACAAACAAATAAACTTAATCCCTAATGTATCAATAATTACATTCAATACAAATGACTTAATTATGGACATTTAAAGAGAAGTTGGTAACCTGAACTCAAAATGTGACCCAGCTGTATCCTGTCTATGTGACTTGCAGTGGAAATATAATGATATAATAGGTGGGGTGAAGGTAAAAAAATAGAAAAAGTATATCAGTTAAAAATTTGGTGGTGAGAGCATTGGGGATCGAATCCAGGGGCACTTTACCACTGAGCTAATCTCCAGTTCTTTTTAAATTTTTTTACTTTGACACAAGTTCTTTTTAAATTGCTGAATCCTCAGCCTCCAGAGTTGCTGGAATTACAAGTGTACACCATCCTCCTAAGCCCATTCAAATATTAATGAACACATAAATAGCTATATGAATGTCAGTACAGTAGACTTCAGAGTACAGAAATTTGCCAGAGACAGGAATATTATATACTGATTAAAAAGGGTCAGTCTAACTAGATGTCGTCATAGCAATCCTAAAGTACAAGCATCAGATAAAAAAGTTGCAAATTTGTGAGTCAAGTACTGATCAGATTTTTCAGTTTTCAACCAATCCACAATTACAGTTGGATACTTCAATATCTTTGTCTTAACCACTGATACAACAATTAAACAGAAGAGTGATGATATAGAAGAATTCAACAATATCATCAATCAACAGGTTCTCTATCACACCTGTAGCACACTGCAACAAGAACAACAAAATACCATTCTTTTCAAGTGCCAAGATAGACCATATCCTAAATGATGAAATAAACTTCAACAAATTATTAAAAAATTGAAACAAAAATTTAACTCTTTTCTCTCTCCAGGCACAAAATTCAACTCAGGTGGATCAAGGACTTAAGCATTAGACCAGAGACCCTGCGCCAACTAGAAGAAAATGTAGGCCCTTCTTTCCATCAAGCTCAGGAACTGCCTTCCTCAAAAAGACTCCTGAAGCACAAGAAGTAAAATCAAGAATCAACAAATGGGATGGTATCAAAATAAAAACTTCTTTAAAAAAAAATCAATCAAGACAGTAAACCAAGAGCCTACAGAAGGGGATAGAATTGATGCCACCTTTTACTCAGAGCATTATTCTCCAGGATACTTAAAGAACTTAAAAAAAAGTTAACACCAAACAAAAGAAAACACCAAACAACAACAACAACAACAATCAATAAATGGACAAAGGATCTGAACAGACAGTTCTCAGAAGTAATAGGTATGGTCAGCAAATATATGAAAAAATGTGCATGATCTCTAGCAATTTGAGAAATTCAAATTAAAACCACACTGAGATTTTATCTCACTCCAGTCAGAATGGGAACAATGAAAAATAAAAGTAACAATAAATGTTGTTGAGGTTATGGGGAAAATGGTACACTCATATATTGCTGGTGGGATTGCAAATTGGTTCAAACATTATGAAAAGTATGGAGATTCCTCAGAAAACTTGGAATGGAACCACTATTTGGTCCAGTTATCCCACTCCTCGACATATACAAAAAGGTCTTAAAATCAGCACACTGTAGTGATGCAGCCACATCCATGTTTATAGCAGCTCAATTCACTATGGAACCAACCTAGGTGCCCTTCAATAGATGAATGCATAAAGAAAATGTGGTGTATATACACAATGGAATGTTACTCAGCCATTTAAAAAAATGACTTTATGACACTTGCTGATAAATGGATGGACTGAGGGCTATTATGCTAAGTTAAATAAGCAAATCTCCAAAATCAGAATGTCAGAATGTTCTCTCTGATATGTGGATGCTGACACAAAACAGTGGAGATGGGAAGAATAGAAGTTCATTGGATTAGACAAAGGGAAATGAAGGGAAGGAGCAGGGACAGAAATAGGAAAGAGAGCGGAATGAATCTGACATAACTTTCCTGTGTCCGCATATGAATACCCCACAGTGAAACTCCACATCATATATATCCACAAGAATGTTATCCTAATTAGAATAAGATGTACCCCAAGTTTGTGTAAATATGTCAAAATATACTCTACTGTCAGATATAACTAAAAAGAACAAATTAATAAAAAATCATTAAAACAGAAAAAAATTGAAACCAAAAAGAATGTTTGTTAGCCACAAAGAAATTGCAATAAAAATTGATAACAGAAAAGAGGAAAATCACAAAACAGAAAACCATGCTCTTCTAAACAATTCATGGGCCAAAGAGGAAGTCTCAAGTGAAATGAAGGAACACATTGCAATGCATAAAAATGAAAGTATAACACAACGAAATCGGTAAGACACAACTAAAGCAGTGTTAAAGGGAAGCCTTGCAGCAATATAGACAAATATTAAAAAGATGAAAAGTCTTAAAACAATAACCTAAATTTTTCTCTCCAAAAAAATCTAGAAATAGAAGAACAAAATAAACCCAAAGCAAGCAGAAGGAAGGAAACAAGAAGGACATGAGCAAATATCAGTTAAATTTAAAACAAAAGGAGTGGAGAAATTCAAAGAAAGATCTTGTAGAGAGATATAGCAGTGGAACAGACCAGAAGTAAACCCACACAAATATGCCCCACTGATATTTGAGAAAGATGCAAAAATAATTTAATGGAGATTGGATGGTTGTTTCCACAAATGATGCTAGAGTAATTGGACATCCATATGCAAAAATTAAATTATCTCACACCTTATACCAAAAGATCTCACACCTTATACCAAAATTAACTTGGAATGGACTTCTATGGAAAATGTAAAAGTAAGAAAGTTTTAGTAAAATACATAGGAGAAAATCTTCATGAACGAGGTCTAGGCAAAAGCTGCACCCCATGTGAATGACAGTGAACTCAAATGAAAAGTTAAATTAAGAAACAACAACTTGTAATGTCATATATTAGAGAGGAAAAATATATAAAACCTAGAAGCAATGAAACTGTTGCACATCCTAACTTATAAAAGCAGTTTCAATAATATTTCTACAAATAGTGATAGCCTTACGTGCTTTTATGAAAATAGAAGAATATATTGACAATAGTAAACTAAATGCCAATTTAGTAAGTTCAAAGAACAACAGAACTAATGTGAACCAGGAAAAAGGAGGGAAGACAACAAAGGGCAAAAATCTAACAAAATGGAAACCATACTTGCAACAGAGAGACAGAAAGAAGTCCAAAAGTTGTCCACAAAGAGTAATGAAGTTGACACACCTGTGGAAGGATTAAACAACAAATAAGAGAGATGTCACAAATAGGCAATAAGAGGTGCTGTAAAAATTAAAGCAGTTAGGGAATATTGCAACCAACTGTACATGAGTAAAATTGAAGACTGAGGTTAAACAAATTCATCCAAAAATGTAACTTACCAAAACTGACTGGAGAAGGAATGGAAGGAGACCACTTTCCTGTGAGATCACCAAGGCTGCCGATGCTCTCACTGCAACAAAAAGAAAGGAGGTGAGGAAAGCTACTTGACTTGCCTTTGAAATGATCACGGAGATAACATATTAGATGACAAAGGCCGGATGGATTAAAATTCAGAAAGGAAAGAAGCCTAGGTAAGCTTTGGGGCATTTTCTGATTCTGAGCTGGACTTGAGGAGAAGTCATGAGCCACCAGGAGGAAGGAAACCAGTGTGACTTTTGACAGTCACAATGTGGATGTGATGGATTGGAACCTAGATGTGCTCCAAAATGTTTAACCATCACCAACATGCAAAATCAAACTTCAGGGAGATGACCCTACACACCCACCAGAATGGCTACAATGAAAGGCTGACATGCTGGTGAAGAGGTGGGGTCAACGGAGCTCTCAGACATTGCCAGTAGAAACGTAAATTGTTTCAGCTACTTGGAGACACTGACAGTTTTTGTAAACTTAATTATGACTCAGCCATTCTAATGAAAAATTACTGATACAAGGAAAAACAGAGATGAATCTCACAACTGTGACCCTGAGTGAATAGAGCCTTCTTGTACAGCAGAAGTCAGAATGACTTGGTGTGGAGATTATTTTCTGAGGAGCACAGGGATGTTGATCTGTGTGTAGTTACACAGATGAATATGTAGAGAGACTTCATAGAGCCATGCCCTAAAGATTGGTTCACTTGGCATGTTATGCTTCATTTAAAAATCCAAGGATTTCTCCATAATAAATGATAAAATAAATAGATGAATAAACTAAAAATAAGTACTTGCATAGAAAAAAGATGATAGTGTGTTATGAAAAGAATAATGATTATGACCATTATCAAAAGGGTCATACTACCAAAAGTGCTGTATAGATTTAATACAATTCCTATTAAAATCCCAATTATATTCTTCATAGAATTAGAAAAAGCAGTCATAAAATTCATTTGGAAAAAGAAGAGACTCAGAATAGTCAAAGTAATTCTTAGCAAGAAAAGTGATGCATGAGGCATTACAATACTAAATCCCCATAAATACAGTTATCTCCTACTAGACAAGGGTGTCCAAAATATACAGTAGAGAAAAGAAAGCCTCTTCAACAAATGGAAAACTGGAAATCCATATGTAGCCAAATGAAATTAAACCCCTATCTCTCACCCTGCACCAAACTCAACTCAAAGTGGATCATGGACTTAGGCATTAGACCAGAAACCCTGTGCATTAGACCAGAAGTAAAAGTAGGCCCAAATCTACATCATGTCAGCTTAGGAACCAACTTCTTCCACTGGACTCCTAAAGCGCAAAAAGTAAAATCAGGAATCAACAAATGGGATGGAATTAAACTAAACAGCTTCTTCACAACAAAGGAAACAATCAATAAAGTGAAGAGAGCCTACAGAATGTGAAAACAGATTTACTATCTGCACCTCAAATACAGCATTAATCTCCAGAACATTCAAAGAATTAAAAAAACTTACACCAAACAAAACAACACAACCCAATCAATAAACAGGAAAGAAACTGAACAGACAGTTCACAGAAGTGAGTGGCCAACAAATATATGAAAAAATGTTCAACATCTCTAGTAATTAGAGAAATGCAAATTAAAACTACCCTGAGATTTCATCTCATTCTAGTCAGAATAGCAATTATTAAGAATACAAGTAAAAATAAATGTTGGTGCTGATGTGGGGAAAAGGGTACACTCATAGATTACTGGTGGGACTGAATATTGGTGTACAACCACTCTGGAGGACAATATGGAGATTCCTCAGTAAACTACGAATGGAACCAGCATTTGAATGGTTATACCACTCCTTGGTATATACCCAAAGGCCTTGAAATCAGTATAGTATAGTGATATGGCTACCTCAATGCAGCTCAATTCACAAGATCTAAGCTATGGAACCAACCTAGGTGCCCCTCACCAGACGAATGGATAACGAAAAGGTAGTACACAAACACAATGGAATATTACTCAGCTATAAGGAAGAATGAAATAGCATTTGCTGGTAAATGGATGGAACTGGAAAATGTCATGCTAAGCACAATAAGCCAATCCCAAGAACAACAGGCTGAATGTTTTCCCTGATATGTGGATGCTAATTCACAAAAAAGTGGGGTGGTGGGAGTAGGTGGGTAGAGAAGAATAGAAGTTCATTCGATTAGACAAAGGGGAATGAAGAGAAGGGAGGGTGAATAGTAATAGGAGAGAGAGTAGAATGAATCAGACATCACTATCCTATCTGCATATATGATTACACGACTAATATAATTCTAGATCATGTACAACCAGAATGAGAAGTTATAATTCATATATGTATAATATGTCAAAATACATTCTATTATCATGTATGACTATTAAGAATAAAACAAGAATAATGATTAATTCAATTCAGGAAAGCTGAGGTCTTATATTTTTTTATAAGGTCTTATATTTTTTATAACATTTATTATTTCAGCCTCAGATTCTAGGATTAGTTTTTTGACTTCCACATCCCACCCACAGTTAATTGATGGTGTTATTTTAATTTCTGTAAACCTATATTTCAAAGTGATCTATCTCACTCTTAATAAGGTGTATGACTACTGCTCTGCTCCAAGTGTTACTAGGCCTGCCCATCACCAGTGATGGACTTTGATAAAACCCATTTTTGACACCAGGAAGTTAAATCATGCTTTTGAAAACATACCAAACTCCCAATACTTGCAGAAGTAGTACATGATGCACTGTTTTCCTGTTGTGGGACAGAAGAGGGCTGGATGCCTAAGGAATTTTCAGGAAGCAGGTTTATTGACTGCAAGGTTCAGAGGGGCTATCTCCTAAAGTTCTCTGGATCATGAGTTTAGAAATTGTACAAACTTTATCTCCTGTGGGTTGGGGGACTTGCAAGTTTACGTAAAAGAAATTTTTTCTATGAGTTCTCAGAAAGTGCTTTTTTTTTTCTCAATTTGTAGATAAGTCAGAGGTTTTACACAATTTACCACAAAAACGGAGGTAACATCATCAAATCCAAGGCCAAACAGATTTTGCAAGACAGAGCAACAGAAAATAGAAAGTTCTAAGCATATTGAACTCTTTCATATAAATTTTTGCTGGTATTCTGTTAATTAAAACAATTATGGTGAGGGTCGCTGGAGAAGCTTAATTAAGATTTTTTGGTGGGGGAGGGGATGCCACTACATCTTGATAGTTGTGCCTTTCAATAAACCACTTAAAAATTATTGAAGATGAAACTTTTGGAGAATGTTCTTGAGAGGAATGAGTTTTCCTCATATATGCCACTGTTCACAGATTTCTACCTGAAACCAAAATTTCTTTTTAAATTTTCTCTTTTGATACTGAGGATTGACTCCAGAGGTACTTAACCACTGAGCCACATCCCCAGCCCTTTTTAATTTTGATTTTGAGACAGGACCTTGATAAGTTCCTTAGGACTTCACTAAGTTGCTGAGGTTGGCCTCGAACTTGCAATCCTCTTCCTCAGGCTCCTGAGTTGCTGAGATTACAGGCATGCACCACCATACCTGGCAATTCTATATACTTTAAAAAGCCACCTGAAAATCTAGCATCCTAGCCACCAGTAAGAAACAGGAAGCACAATTTGTTTCATGGCTGAACCCACCACGTGGGTTATGAACTGTCAAGGTTAACTGTGGGGTTTGTTAGCTTTATTTAGCAATTATTAAAAATTCAATCCTCCTATACTCTTGCATTATTGCATTTGCAATAAGCAAATTACTTATTGCTTCTGGGGGGGAAATCAGACATCAACTATAATTCCTACCAGAAATATAAAGCTGCCAAAATTGTAAGGACTTCCTGTAGTAGTCTGTCTGTCTGCCTCTTATAGATAAATCTTGTGTGACACTAATATTTAAGAAACTGTAGGAATTTCTGTTTTCCTTCTTTCTTTCTTTTCTTTTTTTTTTTTTGGTACCAGGAACTGAGCTCAGGGGCATTCAACCACGAAGCCACATCCCCAGCCCTAGTCTGTATTTCATTTACAGACAGGGTCTGACTGAGTTAGGGAGTTCTGTTTTGTAAGCTGCCTATTCCTTAGACAGTGGAAAGTATATAAACTTTAAAATTTTCATTTTCTGTTCTTTTTGAAAATGCCATTATGCCTTGGGGCATTTCATTCATAAAAGTCCCCCTAGTTTTCAATTATATTGTTTATGCAATGTTATGACTCATATAAGCAGAGTCCTGTCACAGCACAAAAAGTCCAGAAGCTCTAGTCTTAGAGTATTATCATACTTTTCTTGGGGTATTTTTCAGTTTCCTAAATGCAAAGTAAAATTCTTCCTATTCAATAAATTTCTGCATACATGATAGTAACATTAATAAGGGCTATTGTACTTACCTTGATTGTCTGTCAAATTTCTTCTACTAAAAGAAGCAGAAAATCATCTAGTTTAGTGCAGGAACCATGTGACACCGTGTTTTCCTCCTCCTAGGATGTTAGAGGAGAGTGTTTTCTTCATTCCCGTTTCCGTGAAAGCTTCTGTATCCTCCGGTCTCAATCTACCTGCAGTGGACTGAGAAACAACAGCGTGAGTGTGATTCTGGGAGGTGGGGGAAGGAAGAAAACTGGCTTGATTTCAGTTTCGTTTCCCAGAACTAGGAGGAGACTTTTTCCTCTGACATGCTTTTCTTGCCAGTCATTACTGCCACCTTCTGGTATATTTCGTTAAAATCCAAAGACTTAACATCTTTGCTCAGGAGTTTTGAAGGCTGCAGAGAGTCCTGTTGTATTGGCCACAAATTAAAGATGTTGTCTTAATTGATCCATTGAGAATCCCTTTCTCTCTCTTCTTTTTTTTTTTTACACTTAACTATTGTCTTCATCCGTTTTCTGTTGCTATGACTGAATACTGCAGAAAAGAACAGAAATGAATTCCTTACAGTTTTGTAGGCTAGGAAGTCCAAGGTTGCCTCTGGTAAGAGCCTTTTTGTTGTTGGTAACTCTCTGCAGAGTCCCAAGGTGGCACAGGGACCATGGGCCAGATAGAGCAAGCTTGCTTATTTGGATATCTCTTTCTCTTCTCATTAACCCACCAAAGAAATCATGAGGCCCCTGCCCCCATGACTGTAATTACATCCCAAACTCTCCACCTCCAAATACCACTAGCATGTGGCTTGGGGGTTGGTGTCAATTTTCAATTGTTCTCACCACTAAAAATGGTAATTATTTGAGATGATAGATGTGTTAACTAGCTTGAAGTTTGGAGGGTATAAGCACCCCTGCTGTTAGTTACATCTCAATGAAGCTAATATTTTTTATAGCATGCATTTGCATGTTTTTAGTAAAATATGCTTCTGTAATTATGTTATGGCAAGATTGCAATAAATCACCAAGTCAATCTTAAAGCAGGAGATGGAATCATCTTTATTCACCAGCTGATGGGACAAGGGCAGACTGCAATTTGGCACTCCTCAACCCCCTTCAGGGGTCAGAGCACACCTTTTATTGTTTAAAACCACAAGTAAAGCATGTCAGTACATTAATCACAAATGGCTGTTGCCATAATTCAAAACCATAACAAAAATCATGAGATCTTAAATCAGAAGCAGAAGGGAAAGTAGGTCAAAAAAACGCTACTTGAGTATAAGTTAAAGAATTGTTACTAAGGTCTAGACAAACATTAACATTCTATGCAATTAGGATACATTGTACAAGTATATCTTAATAGAAGGAACAATTTCACCATTTTGCATTGCCAGTATGTTTTGCTAAGCATTTGTTGGTGGGTACAGAGGTGGGATTTTCCCATGAAGGAGGCAGTTCTTACATGACATGGAGTCTCAGGGTAAAATGGAGTCTGTTTGGTCATTGCTCATATAGCCTGGCCCATAACAATTAATACTGGAAATCCTTATACTAAATACATCATCCAAAGAACATTGCCACAAAAGAGTTTGTAAAATAGGCGTGTATTTGAAAAATGTTAAGTGGTATCTTTAATTCCCTTAAAGAATCACATGGACAATTTAAGAGCCTTCTCAATGAAGAAGCTTAGTCTAAGAGAGAAAAAAGTAGACCCTGCCAGATAGGGACCTGGCTTGGCCCTTGTGGCTAGGCTATGATGCTTTCTTTTTAACATTAACAATTTCAAGAGAAGGCCACCCTGTTACCATGATGGTTAAGACAAACGCATGATCAATGTGTAATTATATGTGAATGTAAACAAAATCATAAACATTGCCAAGTCATAAATATGACCCAACATCTCCCAGTCCTAGCTAATATGAGTAACTTTTACTTCTTCACCCATCACAGCTTGAGTCTCACTCAGCTTCTGGAAAAGATTCATAAAAGATTTACTTCCTTAAACCATCCATTCCAGAACAAAGCTCTGCCACTTGATTACAGGTGTGTGCCACCATGGGAAGAATAAATGTTAAAACCTATTAGGAATGTGTTCTGATTAAATATATTTGAGTTTTTTCTCAATTAGTGTGTAATAGCCATAGAAAGATATTTCTATTGGTATAAAAATATGCCTTCAGCATATTTTACTCCTGCTTTTTAATGGTGTAGCTGAAGCTGGTAGAAATATTTCACATAAGGAAATGGATGGGTGTGGAAGTATTTTGCTAAGCTTTGTCAATTATTTGAGCTCATGATGAATTACGTTATCAAAAATTAATGTAATTTTAGAAATTATGTTAATGATAATACTGACCCCAATTTTATTGTAAGCAAAGACTTATAAATACACTGACTTGCAAAATATTTTGTCAACGAACAATGTAGTCATTTACTGTCTTAGTTTCCAAGAGACAAACAAAATGGGTTTAGTAGTCCAATGGAAAAAAATATTAATGACTCTTTTTGCCCTTTTCCTTAGTTACCTTATTTAACCCAATATAATAAAAGTTTGGGGAAATTCAATATAGTTTTTCTAATGATTTTTGACAAAATGTAGTAACCTCATTCTTTAAGGCTATTTTCACCAAAATCTTCAACTTGTAGATTTCTCTAATTGAATTCATTGGAATAGCAACCTGAAATTAACTAACAAATCAAGTTCTCATTGTCCCCACTGTCAAACCTATCAACGAAATAAAACTTTCTTTTGGAACAAAAACCTTTATTTTTAAATTTCAAATAAATGTGTCAATACCTATTTCAAGGTATAGTATAAGCACAAATGAGAAGTAAAAATGCATTTTATAAAGTAGGCTAATAAACAGTTAAGATGTTTAATTAATATTTTCTATATAGCTCTAATATAAATTATCCATTATATAAAGGTATAAAGTAAGATAATAAAAATAATTTTTATTATTTGAAGTAACCCAATGTAATATGTATCTTGGATTTCATGCTATATTTGAAACAAGGAGTAAGCAAGGACATGAATTTCTTTTTTAAAAACAAATGTGTATGTATTAGAGAGAGAGAGAGAGAGAGAGAGAGAGAGAGAGATTGATTTGACCTCTGTGTTAGTTGAGGAACAAATAAGAGTCATGAAAAATTAGAGGTAAATTCAGTGAGTTTTAAGAGATATCACAACCAAATCTTTTCTAGTAATATAAAAATAAGGGTATATCTGCTATAAATGAATTAGAGTAAAATTCAATGGGAAATAGACACAGATGATATTTTATGAGGTGATAATATAAATAAGTCTCATACAATTTATATTATATAAAATTATTGAAATTGCTATAAAAAAGTTATAATTTGATAAATATGCTTTAACTATCTCATGGAATATATTTTTATTTCCTAATTAATTTCTTCATAAGAAAGCAATCTCTCTGTTCTAAGCATTTTGCACATGTTAATGGATCTATTTCTAATAACCCGATGAGGTAGCTACTGTAACTATGTTATAGCTCAGAAAACTAAGGCACAGAGAAGTACCCTAAACACATACACAGATAGTGAGTAGCACAGTAAATTTATATCAAACAACACGTATAGAATCCGAAAGATTGCCATAAAATTTTATCCAGTATATTTTAAGATATTAGATAGTTTTATTTTTTAAAAAATTTCTATAAATGACTAAGCATCATTAACTTGTCCTGCTTCAGTTGTCCAAAGACTTGGTTTTTGATAGAAAAGGCACTTTCTAGGATTTTGAGACTAGCAGGTGAGAATTGATTACATTTCAATGTGTGGAAAATGCCCCTTTTCAGTCACTGTTTCCTAAGAAGCCTCTCTTTGGGGTAAAAATGGGAGTTCATAACCCACTTGAATCTAATGTATGAAATATGATATGTCAAGAGCTTTGTAATATTTTGAACAACCAATAAAAAAAAAGAAAAAAAAGAAGCCTCTCTTTACACATCTCCTGAAGCAATGAGGTCACCAAATGAGCCTTAGCTCTCTTATCTTCCCACATTTCAACATATTTATATTCACAGCATCCCAATGTGGGCATGAATGTCCTGTTTTTGACTATCTTAAAAGGAGTATGCACAAGACATAAAAATATCTTTAATTTACAGAGGTCAGTTTTAAAGGAGGGACCAATATTTCAAATTGCCTCTTTGGTGACCCTGAGTTTTTTATATGTGGGGAAAGACACCATAATGAAGTTTAGAATGGACAGAGGCCTGACTTTGTATCAGTCAGGAAAGTTCATTTGAGTGGTAATAACACCCCCAAATTTCAGTGTCTTGAAAGAGGAAAGTCAAATTATTCTTGTCCTGTGGACTGTCTTACTTTTGTTGTTGTTAGGGTTTCTATGTGAGGTGTCTCCCAAAAGCTCAAGTGTGAGAACCTGCAAGAAGGTTTAGGGGTGAAATGATTGGGTTGTGAGAGCCTTAGCCCCATCAGTAAATTAATCCCCTGAGGGGGGTTAACTGAGTGGTAACAGTAGGCAGCTAAGGTGTGCCTGGAGGAGGTGGGTCCCTGGGGGTGTGCCTGTGGAGTATGTATTTGGTGAGCTGAACTGAATCTCTCTCTCTCTCTCTGCTTCCTGGTGTGATACCCTAAGCTGCTTTTCTCTGGCACACTCTTCTGCCATGATGTCCTGTCTTACCTTGGGCCCTGAATGAAACCTCTGAAACTATGATCCCCAAATAAAATTTTCCTCCTTAAATTTGTTCGTCTCTGATCTTTTGGTCACAGCAGTGAAAAAGCTGACTAAAACATTTTTGTTGTTTGTTTGTCTGTTTTGGTACTGGGGAATCAAACCCAGAGCTTCAAGGTAAATGCTCCCCCATTGAGCTTTGTCTCCAGTCCTTCTCATTTTTTATTTTTTGAGAGGCCTGCCTCAGCCTCCTGAGGAGTTGAGAAAATAGACGTGGGTCACTGTGCCCTGCTTGCATGCCATCTTGGATTATCCCAAGGCTCTATTTTGTCCCCACTCTGGTCCCCATCTCTGGTGATAAAGCTGCTTCTATCTGGGGAGCTGCCAGTTACTGTGGTGAACAGAGAAGAGATCTGGAGTGGTTTGCTTTGGTGCTCAATGCTCTGAGCGTTGTAGAGTGGGGAGGAGGGGAAGGACAAACTGAAGGGGCCTTTCACTGAATGGATTGGCCACTTTCCCAGGCAGATGACATTCAGGAATGAGTAGATATGAAAGTTGAAAGTTCAAAACTGAATTTTTTT